GAGGGTGATGGGGGAGGCGGCACCTGGACGGGGGTCGCGCCAGGCACGTACGCGGTATCAGTAAAGCTGGGCGGCAGCCGCAGGCRCTGAGTAGCATGGAAAGGCGGARAGCGGAGCACTGCGGGTTGTCGGGCTGGCCACTATAGTATGGAGTACCGCGGGCAACGACAGAGTTTCTGTGGGGGCGGCTACTACTGAAGCGCATGGTGGGGCGACGGGCAGTGAAAGAGAACAGCGCAGACTGACGGGAGAGAACGGCGAAGACCAAAAAAAAAAAAAAGAAAAAAAAAAAGGGGGGGCGAACCTGGCGCGAATTCACGCCGGGTACATTCGAGTATTGGTATGGCAGAGAAAATGAGGGGATGAACATGGCGGGGAGAGACCGTGAACCATCGTTCCTTATCGGATTTTGATGGGAAGAAGTACTAATCTGAGGTTTTCGGGATAGGCGATTTCGAATTTGGAGTTAGAATTAGAAGCAGATTAGTAATTCCGGAGCTAGGGGAAGAAATTAACGCGCGGGCTATGGCGGAGTGTCGAAGGAGAAAGGGAAAGATATTGATCTCACCCGTTTMTTGATGAAAGCGGGTGAGAAAAGATTCATTTCGGAGGTTTTCCTGCGGGGCGAGCATGATGATAACGTCAGACTTGGTGTTAGGGTAGTAGAAAAGGCGGTATCAGTAGAACGAGCCGCGCRGTGGCTATGGCGAAGTGCCGAAGGGAAACGTGCAAAGTGAAGATCTCTCCCGTTTCACCACAGAAACAGGCGGGGAAAGACCCAAAATGGGGGKTTTGGGTAGCGGCGAACTAGAATATGATGTTAGTTTTATGAAAAGGTTAGTATAGAGGGAGGTAAGTAGAGGAAAGACTGCGCTGAGCTTTGGGGGGGGGGAAGGCTTCGAAGTAACGACGAATCTACCCGCGTTTTTTTTAGCGGAAGATAGTGGGCGCGTAGAGAGAGAGAGAGAGAGAGGGAGAGAGAGAGAAAGAGGGGAGGAGGGACTAGGCCATAGCAGACCGGGTGTTGTGTGCATGACCGTTATTAGATGGTGGAGCGATTTGTCTGGTTAAATTCTGTTAACAAACGAGACCTCGGCCTGCTAAACGTGGCAAGGATTGACAGATTGGGAGCACATGGTCGTTCGACATAGCAAGGATTGACAGATTGAGAACTCTTTCTTGATTCTATGGATGTGGGTGTAGGAGCACGTACCTGGTTTTAGTAGCTGGTGCAGGGGACCACTGTGCGCGCATGATTAGAGGAATCCAACTGCTATCCGAGGGGCTAGAAGAGTGGCGACCCTGAAGACCGAGCTCAGAACCGATAGTGGGTTAGCACAAGTCAGATATTGTAGAGGCAGGGGGTGCACGGAGGAGCCGGAGCCACTTACCTGCCGGAGAGAAGCCGGTATGGAGCAGCGGAGGATAGTGGCGGAAAGTTGAACTTACCTGTTGGCCACTACACAGTGCAGCTTACCGGTCAAGCTAGCGAGGGGAAGACTATGGCACCG